GCCCCGCGCCGCGCCGAGGAGCAGCCCGCGGCTGATCTGCTCGTCGAACTTGCTGATGTCGAAGTAGACCGACGCAGCCTCGAAGTTCTTCTCGCGCGCCAGGCCGAGAAGGAGGTTGTGAATGTAGGCCGCCCTGTCGCAGCTGGTGTCCGAGTCTGTCCCCCAGTACTCGGGGGGGCTTGTGGTCCCGCTCCCAGCCCGCGCAGTATTTGCGCCTGATGCGGCTCCAGATGCGCATCCACACGCAGAGGAGCCCGATCGGGCGGCGGCCCCCGTCGGGCTTCCCCAAGAAGACGATGATCGTGGTGAACAGCTCAGACGGCTTGGGGCGCCGTTCCCAGGCTGTCAAGATCGCTGCCAGCCTGGCCGCGCACTCCCTGCCTAAGCTGAGGATGAGCCTGGGGTGGAAGGCGTCCCATCCCAGCGCCGTCTTCCTGGGAAAGGTCTTCGCTGCTGCCAACACATCCTCCGCCGTGATGGCGCCCAGACCCAAGGGCTCGCCCCAGTTCTCGGGGCGGGCGCTGTCGGAGCCCTCCTTGTACCAGAGCGCCTCCCACTCCTGAAGGATCCTGCGCAGGGCCTGTTGCCCGACCAGCGGGACTGGAGGGGCCTCGCCCTCACCAGGGCCGAGGATGGAGCAGGTCTGGAGGTTGGCCTGCTTGCTGATCGCGTGGGCGCCCTTGCCGTTCCCACTGAGGGCCTCGGCCATGAAGTCCTTCCAGCGCTGCCTGGCTAGCTTCACGCCCTCACTGCGCTTGACCTCCGTGGCGGCGCCGATGGCCTGGAGGAAGATGCTGCCCTGCTGCGACCTGTCCGAGATCTCCGCCAGCATCGCCGCCATCGTGGCGCCGCCGAACATCTCGCAGCCCTCTGCCTCGAACTTGGGGGCCAAGTCTAGGGCGGCCGCCTGCAAACGCTTGACGTGCTTGCGATGCCTAGGCGAGGGGTGGGGCACAGCCGCCGCGGACGCCAGCTGAGTGGCCAGGCGCCCCAAGGTAATCCAGCAGCGCGTTAGCGGGCTGGTCCTGCGCACCTCCTCCGAGCGCAGGAGGTGAATGAGCTGCTCGGGCACCCTCTTGAGCCCCTGCGCCCTGCCTCGGTACTTGGCGCCGTCCTTGATGCCGAAGAGGTGTATCAGGCGCTCCTCAGCCTGGTCGAAGAACTCCATGATCGCCTCGTTTGGGCTCCCGCTCTCGTCCAGGAGCGGCGCCTTCCAGCCCGTCAGCGAGTCCTCCTCCTCTGGCTCTGGCTGGATCCCCTCCTGCTTAGCCGCAGGCAGCTCGAACGGCTTGGGACCCTTCTGCACCCAGACACCTGCCTGGCTGCACAGCTGCACGAAGGTGAGCCTGACTGGGGCGTGCGGGCGCGTAGTCGCCTGCCTGAGCACCGTCACCTTCGGCCCTAGCCCCGCCAGGACGTCCGAGATCACGAAGAAGTCGTACGTGCTCTCGCCGCAGGTCGGCTCGTCGGGTGCCACTATCACCGCCCCCACCGCGCGTGGCCACCACGAGCTGCTGAGGAGGCTGGGCTCCAAGTTCCAGCCCCCCCCCACCACGAAGGGCTCCCGCAAACCAAGGAGGAAACCCTGCAGCTCGCTCAAGAGGTCCACGTTGGCCTCATTGAGCTTGACCGAGCACTGCAGGCACAGGCTGACGCACACCACGACCAGGTCCCCGAAGGCGACGCGCCTCGCCACGATCCTGGAGGCGTGCTGGCCCCAGACCTGGTCGATCAAGGCCACTCCGCGGCGCTCTCCGACGAGCACGGCGACCCCCGAAGAGACGGCTTGAGCTGCCGTCCCTGTGCTGCGGCACTCTCCGAAAGCCGCGTTGATGCCGTTCCTCTTGCACCAGGCTCGGGCAGAGCCCTCCGCTAGCGCCGAGGTGAAACGGGTCTCCTGGATGAGGTACACGTCGTCCCTGGCCTTCGCGTCCAGCAGCAGCTCGAGGGCCGTCTGGGACTCCGCCCACGTGGAGCCGTTGATGCTGAGGAAGCTGGCGCCCTGCTGCGCCGAAGGCCGCACCAGCTTGGCCAGCTGGAGCACAGCGGCCGCGGCGGGCGCCGCCGCGCCTGCCGCCTCAGCCCGGGGCTGGGGGCGGCGCGTCGCCGCGCAGACGAGGTCCAAGGGGGGACTCACGCCCGAGTCTGTCGCCACTCCATCCTGAAAGAGCAACCCGCGATTACATATGGGCCCTCGGCTAGACTTCGGACTGCCAGTCCCTTGGCCGCGCTGCGCCTCCAGGCTCACATTGGGCCTGGGATCAAAGTCAAAGGCGCCGCGGCCGCTTGCCTGCAGCCCAGAGCGCGTCCAAGGCGTCGCGCAGCTTGCGCTTGGCCTCCTCTCGCTGCTCGGGGGCCGCTTCTCGGAGGGCTGCTGAGGCTGCGGCGTACTCCTCGTGCTTCGCCTCCCAGCCTTCTCCTCCCAGCAGCTCCATGTCGATGTCGTCTGATTCGGGCACTGGTTTGTGCTCGCCGCCTGCGTCTGCCGCCCCAGCAGCAGGACCAGGAGGAGCAGCAGCGTCCCTGGCAGCGGCCGCTGCCTTCTTGCTGTCGCTGGCTGCGGACTGCAAGCGGGCCAGGACCGCGAGGGCGTCCTTGGCCTCCTGGCTGGCGGCGACGTCCTCGTCCATTCCAGCTGCGACTGCCAGGATCGGGTCGGGGAACTCGCTGGCCTGCAGCTTGACCAACTTGGCTTCCCCCTCGGTGAGCTTCTGGTTCTCGTCGTCGATCGAGACCCTGAGCTCCTGGAGCTCCTTGTCGAGTGCGGCCTGCTGCTCCAAGATGACGGCCTCGCGGGTCTCAAGCTTCTTGATCTTGTCGCGCATGGCCTTGACCCGCCAGCGCTGCGTCTGAGCAGTAGGCTGCTTGCTCTCGAGCGTCTTCGATTCCGCAGCCTTCTCTGCCGCCTCCACCGCGCTGGTGTCGAGCCCCTCCTTCGCCAAGAAGGCGATGGCGTCCTTGTAGGAGATGCCAGCACTCGCCTCGGCAGCCTTCCTGGGCGGGGGCTTGCGCTCCTTCCAGGGTTTCGTCGGCGGCGGGGCCTCGCCCTTGAGCTCTGCCACCTGTTTCTGCAACTGCTGCAGCTGCTCCAGTAGCTGTCCCTGTCCTGGCGGGCCCTGCGCCCAGGCCCCGCGCGGGCGAGACGTGCTGGGTGCTGGCCCTTCAGCTGCTGCTGCCGAGCGCTTGGTTGCCTGCACCACCTTGGTGGGAGCCGCCTTCCAGCACTGGCGGCAGCGCGTCCTGGAGGCCCAGTTGCCATCACAGCCGCAGGAGCAAGACCAGAGAGGTGTCCGCCGCGCGCCTGGGATGATGCCAGGGTCCTCTTGTGACGGCGCCATGGCCCGCGGGCTGCCGCGGGGGGAGCCGTCGTCGTGAAAGTTGGCTCGTGCCCACTACGCCGCTTCGAAGTAAGTGGGCACAAACGCGAGCTGTCGCCAGCTCAGGTAGACCAGCTCGCGCCGAACCGGCTACGGTGGGGGCATTGGATGAGGAACCCTTGGATAAGGAATCCAGGGTCTGGAGGCTGGTGGAACTTCAATCGTGGATCGGCCATGGATATCGCCACCGCCCTCATTAGAGATAAGGAATCCTCCAGGGTCTGGTGCCTCCTGGGACTATTCCTTAACAAACGCGTCCACCGTACCCCTGCGGCGACCGAAACCAACAGGTCACCCCGGCGAAGGGTCACTCCTACGCGTAGCCTCAGGTCGGGCATGTCCTCCTACAGGCGGAGTTCGGAAGAGCAGATTGAAAATCCGCCGACCGTCGGCGTGTGGAAGAGGCTGTTCCGTTTGACTCGTCGTCGTCGTCGTGGTCGTTGTCGTCGTCGAGTGCGCCAGCCACAGCGAAATTGAGCACCGTTGTAGTGGAGTCGAAGGGAAGCCCCTTCCCTTTGATCCCTTCCCCGCCGGTGGGGGGGGGTCCCAAGGAAGTCCTGGGGAGATCCCGAGGAAGTCCCGGGTCAGATACGACTCCCCCCCGGGCAGTTCGGGGGCCAAGAAAAGCCCCTAGATGCAGCAAAAATGCCCCGAGATGCCCCCAAGACGGTCCTCGAGGGCCCCGAATCGCCGAAGTATCGGTCGAAATTGCCAGAGTAGCCTCCGGATGGCTCAAAAGGCTTCCAAAACATACCAAGAGGCCTCCAAGAGGGATTCAAAGAGGGCACCAAGGAACAACAATCATCGATTTCCCGAAGCTTTTTGAAAGATTTCGGCATTCTCGCCTTGTCAGCTTCCCGACGCTCCAAGACAGGTCAAGAGGCCCCCAAGACTGCCCCAAGATGGCCCAAGAGGGGTCCAAGAGAGCCCCAAAACGACCCAAGAGGGCCCCAAGACCGTCCAAGAGGCCTCCAAGGCAATCGAAGAGGCTCCCAAGACGGTTGTACGAGGGAGTCCAGACTGGGGACTCGAACTGACATTTCGAGCCCTCGGCTTGAGAAGTTCTGAGGAGATCCCCAGAGGCCCCTAAGAAGCCCCCCAAGAAGCCCCACGGGGCCCCCAAGGGGCCCCCAGGGGGCCCCAAGAGGCCCCCACGAGGCTCCCAAGCGGCCCCCGAGAGCTTCCCAAGAGGCCCCCAAACTACCCCCGGGACGCTCCCGAGAGCTTCGTCGTTGTGGTCGTGGTTGTCGCCGCCGTGCAGGGTCGTCGGCACTGGCCGTAAGGCCTTCGCAAAAGTACATCGCCCGCAGACGACTGCTTGACTTTTTTGTCTACACAAAAAACTCTTGGAGGCCTGGAAATTGGCACCAACACCAGCACAGAAGGTTGCCTCCACATGGGGAAGATGATCCTAGATTTCGGTGTTGGTGGTAATATTTCTGTCACCTTGGACGCCAAAATATTACCACCATCACCGAGATCGGGATCGTCTTCCCTCGGTGGAGGCACACCGCCGATCTTGGTGTTGGTGTCAACCTCTAGGCCTGCGAAACTCCTCCTGCAGAGAGACATGCCCGGCCGGAGCGCAGCCGAACGGCAGCGGCAAACCCCGGGCGGCGGGTCCTCCACCCCGGCGCCGACCAGCGGCATCGGGTGGAGGCCCCCGGGGCGCCCGCCGGCGTGGGCGCCGACGCTCCTCCGTACAGGGAGAGGGTCGGGGGCGGCCAAGACGGGGGCGTCCAAGAGGGGTGGCGCAAAGTCATGGTCGGCGGCACGCGCGCGGCCCCAGGGGGGGGCCAAGGGCGTACTGAAACAAGAAGAGGCGCCCTGAAATCTCGGGAGATCTCATGGCCCCCGCCGTGATGTCCACCGCCCCCTGGTCGTCCCCTTCCCCCCCCCCCTTGGCCGCCCCCGAGAAGGGTGCGGGCGCGCGCCACGCGGGCGGCGCGGCCCGGAAAGCCGCGCCCCGCTGGGCCCCGGATGCTGCTGCCGCTGCTGCTACCCAGGTGCAGTCTCGTGTGGCAACTCGTTGGAGCCTCCCGTAGGAGGCAACTACTGGGAGGTCTTCGTCGGAAGGACGAAGAAAGATTAAGACCCAGCGGGGGGTTGTTACTCCGGAGGGGGCCTCGGATTAAGCGGGATTCAGCCGGATTGAGCGGGATTTAGCGGTATAAGCCAGATTAAAGCCGGATTTGGAACCAGGGCAAAATCAGAATTTGACCTCCCAGGAGTTGCATCCGAACCTCCCATACCATTGCGAATCGTCGCTAATCCACGCCAGTGGACGCTAGGCGACGCCACATCTCGACGCTCCATCGACGCTCCATCGGCACTCGGCGCGGTCTCATCGATTATACCAGACGCTAACGCACGCTACTAGCGCACTCCAAGAGCGGAATTGCGAGGACGAGGCTCCCATGATGCGACACTGAAGTCCGATGCTGCTTCGGCTGCTGCTGCTACCCTGATTCAGTCGACGTCGTCTGTTGCTGTTGGCCGCGGCCGCACGTCCGAGACGGGGCAGGGGCGGGGAAGCGGCGGAGGGGCGCGGGAAGAAGTTGGACAAGATGGCAGAAATCAAGCAGAAGGGGCGGTCCTTAGAGAATTGTTGAAGGCGGCGGCGGTGCATCAGTTTGGAGCACCCCTCCGCGCCCCAACTTTCCCCCCTGAGATCCGGGGTGTGCACTTTCTTGTTCACGCAGGGCGTGTTCGCCCAACTGGCCCCAGGATCGTCACAGATCGATCCGGAGACGACCGAAGTGCTGGATCCAGCACCTCCAGCTGGAGGTGCTCGTCCAGGCGAACCTCGAGATGATCGTGCTACTTTGGGCGACCATCGAGACATTGGCGGCGAACTTGTTTCTGGAAGCGACAGGTCAGCTGGTAATCCTCGGGATTCTGGCGGTGATCCCTAAAGCCCTACAAGCGACTGTGGCGCTGGAGGTGACATTTCAGATCCCGGTGGTCATGTAGCTCGACGCGCTCCTCGAGACGTTGGAGCTGCGCATCCTGAGGTCCATGACGAACTCTTGTGCTCCATACGTGAATGTATTTGCCCCTCGGAGCTGTGCGCGGTGGTGGCGGACATGAGCACGGCTGGGGTCGATCGGGCCGCGCTCCTCGCCGGTAGAGAGCCCAGGACTGAGAAGCGTAACGTGAAAAGGGTGAGAGAACAAATTCAATTCTTTGACGCTGCCATCAGCTTCCAAAACCATGCCGCCCCTGCTGCCGCACAGGTGTTCGAGGCTGCCATTTCGACGATAGCGGAGGGGACGCGCGTGGGCACCCCGGAGAGGCTTGATCTGAGCGGTGCGGGAACGAGGCCGCGTTCGATGCCACAGATGATGTAGTAATGGCCCCATCGTGAACGTGAGTGTGAGCGTCGTGATGAATCACACGTGTCATCCTCAATGGCGTACCCCAGGGGAGTCGAGGAGACCTGGGGTCGTGCAGGACGGCGGGGAGGCCAAGAAGCGGTGTCGGTCGCTGCAGGTCTCACAGCTTGCACCGCCTGTGGCGACGGTGGCGCTGGACGCGAGGTCGGAGGATTGACGAGGACGACGCACGGCTCGGCCACGGTCCTAGGCAGCGTGAGCAGGTCCGCATTCGATGCCTTTTGTACAGCTGCCCTTGCCCCCTCGTGCACGTGACTGCTGCTCTCGCCCGGCAGTTGCGGCGGATCCTCTTCACCGTCGTCCGACGTGCGTGCCGCTCGGCATGCTCCAGGGATCGTCATCGGAGCCTTCGGTGCTGAGGATGAGGAGGAGGTGGAGCAGGAGGAGTAGGAGGCGGAGCGTTACGATCAACTCTGTGGATTGTGATGCTGTGGCTTGTGCAACGTGGCGCACGCCAGGCACTTTCCCGTTTTGCTGCATCGTGCTTCGGCGACAGCCGTCCTAGAACCACGGAGAGTGTAGAGCGAAGGGGAAGGAGCTGGAGTACGTTTCTGAGCTGCGGCAATAATACGCATCGTCACACATGTCCCTCCGCAGTGCGTGTGGACGGAGTCCTCGGCTGTGCCTCTCACCGTCTTGGTTATGCTGCTGTGCGCATAGCGCCAGTGTTTCACGATCGTCGGGCAGATCCTCTAGCCGAAGAGCTCGCTACTCTTTCGCGTGGAGATTGCTAACCATGGTTTGGTTTTCCACCTTGTTGAGCCCCCGAACGTGCACGAAATTAGCACAGTAGCGGCTGATGGCAATTTGTTCCTTGCCCGGGTAACGGCTGTTACCGGGGGGGGGAAAGGGGGGTCGGGCGGGAGGGTAACGGTAACGGCGGCCGCGGCGTGCGCCCGACAGGGTGGTGCGCCCGCGCCACCGGCGCATCAATCGCCTGTGCACACGACGATGCCCAATGCCTGCGTGCAACACAGCGCCAACTGTGTGCAAATCACAGTGCCTCCGTACACCACAACAGCCGCGTGCACTGCAGCACCACGTCGCCCATGCACACCGCAGTACCTGCGTATACTGCAGCAACCGTGGTCCATAATCGGATTCTACAGACATCAATTCATTATAATAGTGTTTTTCAAAAGAAGCCCTATGGAAAATGGAGCGCCTCTGGATTCCACAGAAACAACTTTTGCTTGATAAGGGAATCCGTTTGGAAATTGGGGCGCTCTCGTTTCCACAGAAAACGAACGCTATCTATACACGTTTTGAAAGAATCCCTACGGAAAATGGAGCGTCTGAGGATTCTACATGCGTGCACCGCAACGCCTGCGTATACCGCATCTCCTGTGTACACCACAACAACCGCGTGCAACACAGTGACGCTGTACACCACAGTGCCTGTGTGCACCACAACGCTTGCGTACACCGCAGCGCTTGTGTACACCGCAGCAGCAGATTGCAACGCAGCGCCAGTGTGCACCACGCTGCCTGCGTGAACCACAGCGCCTGCGCACACCACAGCGCCCGCGGGAGAAGGCGCGGGGCCGCCCAGTCTTCATCTTCTCCATGGCAGTGGGTCTACAAGCAATACGTGCATCAAGGACGAGTGGTAAGGACGCAAGACCCTTGGAAACCGAAGCTGGGATTTATTTGCAAAAGCTGGCCAATGAAAGCGGCAAAGGACAGCCCGCAGAGGCAAGGACACAAGGGTACCCTGGAGAGGTCGCGCGTCCATATTAGGCGCGTTGACTGTGTCGCACTGCAACCGAACACCGGCCAGAAGAAAGAGAGAGCCACCGGATTTTGCAACTGCGGAAGAGTGGTCGAACCAGCCTGCGGTAGCTGAGTCATCGCCAGCTGCATTGGACGACGACGACGACGAAGACGACGAAAACGACAACGACCGACGACCGCGACGACGACGACGACGACGAGTGCGAGCGCCACAACACGTCTGTGAGCACCAATGCGTGCCGTTCAGACCACGCCATGCCTCTGAGCACAGCACCATACCTGCGGGGGGTCTGCTCCCAGCATGTAAGGGGGGGCCAGGCCCCCCCTCCCCCACGCAACGATCGTTAGCGGCGTTACCCGGGGGGAGAGGGGAGGGTTGGCCCAGGTAACGAGCCTTCCGCTGGAGAGGGACAACAAAAAGGCTCACCTTCCATGCTTGATTGGGGAGGTGGAGCTTGAGGCCTTGATGGAGGAGGCGGATGTGTCGGAGGATACGCGTACCGCCGCAGGCCAATGCAATGCATCGAGCGCCTAGCACGCTTTGCTTCGCACTGTGCTACGTGCACTGCGACTGCGGTGAATTTGGATGTGCCTCTCACCGCCAGACGACCATTGCCAGCGTAGCGCTCTCCGACTTGAGCCCTGTGTTTCTTGCGGGCGCGCCCGACTTTGGCCCATGGGCCTCGCACGGGGTGCGCGTTCAAGGCCTGGGTAGCGGGAGGGCCGCGAATCGGCACCTCGCAGTCGTCCCCCCTCGGCTCCCTTGCTCGTCCGCCCTGGGCGCCGACGCCCGTCTTGCACTTCCTCACTGCCTGTTTCGATCACACGGTCTGCTCGTGGGCTGGTGGTGGCGCTGGGGCAGGGCTGCAAGGTGGTGCCGTCGCCTTCTGTCCCACTGCCAATGCTTTCGAGAGGCAGGGGCCCTGTCTGTGGCCCATCCTGGCCATGCCTGGCCCGACTCACGCCGTGCCTGGCGCTGCGCGGAGCTCGCTCCGACCCCCCTGGCTTCCCGCCCCCTGCCGACGAAGCCAGAAGCTTCCGATGCAGCTGCTCCCCGGACCGCTCCCGAGGTGCGTTCTGACCAGGAGTTCGAGGAGACTCCAGCGGTGGCGACCCGGATCTCCCAGGAGGCAGAACAAAACCGGGAAGACGGGCAAAGGGTGGCGGTACTGGTACCTGTTCCTCCTCCGACGCATCGTCTGCCTAAGAAAGAGGAGCCGGATATCAGAGGAGCGTCGAGATCGGCTGCACGCAAGAGTGACCCTGGGCAAGAGTGCCCTATGGTGCGCGGCTTCTTCAATAGAAGGGTACGGGGGGACCCAACACAAGGTGCGCAAAATACTGTCGCATCGCGTTCGGCATCCGAGGGGGCTCCAGTGGGCCCGCGCCAGAGGTCACTCCGCCGAGGGGTCACTCTTGCGCGTACGCGTCGTTCCTTTCTAATCGTGCTCACTTCCAACTTTGCTCGTTTCTGATTGTTCCTGGCCCCCCAGTGGCCAGGAAGAGGCCCAGGTTAGAGCAATTAGAGACGAAAGGATCTTGCCCCAAAAAAATCAAAGAACTTTCGAAGCATCGGGAATGAACAGTGTGTAGTGTAATCGACGAAGGGAAGCCACGGGACCTCGCCCTGGCGATAGCGACCCCCCCCCCCTCACGGGCCGTCTCCTCTCCATCTCCGCCAGCAGGTCGGCGGCCCCGCGGAGGGGCTGCCTGGGGCCGTCCCCCTGGCTGTCCTCTCGGGCGGCGACCAGGGGGAGGCGGCTCTCCTCCGTCCCCCTGGCTCCTCCTCCTCTCTTCCTCCACTCACCTCCTCCTCCACTCCTCCTCCTCCTCCTCCTCCTCCTCCTCCTCCCTCCTCTCCTCTCCTCCTCCTCCTCCTCCTCCTCCCCCTCCCCCCTCTCCTCCTCCTCCTCTCCTCCTCCTCTCCTCCTCCTCCTCCTCCTCCTCCTCCTCCTCCTCCTCCCTCCTGCGCTTCGCCTCCTCCTCATCCTCCTCCTCCCTCCGCCTCTCCTCCTCCTCCGCTCCGCCTCCTCCTCCTCCTCTCCTCCTCCTCCTCCTCCTCCTCCTCCTCCTCCTCCTCCTCCTCCCTCCTCGTCCTCCTCCTCCTCCTCCCTCCCGCCTCCTCCTCCTCCTCCTCCTCCTCAACCTCATCTTCATCCTCATCCTCATCCTCCCCCTCCCTCCATCTATCTTCGGTGGCAACTCATGGGAGCCTCCCATACCACCTTGTCGACTCTTGCGAGTCGACGCTAGTCGACGCTGAATCGACGCCAGCCGACGCTAAAAGCGCTATATCGGCGCTATCTCATCGACTCCCAGACGCTAATCGACGCTAGTCGACGCTAGAGACGGCACCGACACTAATCGACGCTAATCCTCGGGGGACCTTGTCTGTCCCGTCGCGGCCCTATCCGCGTCGAATCCGTGTCGAATCCATGTCGGCCCGGCCCTCTCGGATCCGTGTCGAATCCTTGTCAAATCCGTGTCGAATCCGCGTCGAATACACGCCGAATCCGCATCGAGTGTGCATCGATCCCGCGTCGGGCACGAGAATATACCCCAATTTTTGGGACAGGCGAGGTCCCCCGAAGATGCAACGTAACCTCCCTCCATCCATCAATCCATCTTACTTGGATCGCCGCGGTGGTTGCTAAGGGGATGGGGGGGGTCCGACGTGGATGCAAAAGTGGGTTGTAGATTGCCTGACCCCACACGTTAGAAGTGGGTTCCAAGTGCCCTATGTGGCTTAGGATGATGAGGTAACTCCGCCAAGTGGGCTCCGCCCAATTAGCCCCGATCTGTACGCCCTCAAGCCACGTCGGGCACGTGCAACTCACTTCTGAGCTGAGTTGGGCTGGATAGAACCCACCTTCGCATCCACTTGTATCCCCCTATCCTCTTAGCACCCCCCCGCGACGATCCAAGCAGAAAGGTCCTGACCCTTTTCCTGGGGCTGGCTTTTCATCCTGAGTCGTTCTTTGACGGCCCCGGGGCCCGTGAACGCGCCCCGCGGGGACGAAAACGACGACAAACCTCTCGCCCTGATTTGTCCACGACGTAAACACGTCTGCGTCCCTGATCCTTACGTACAGGGCCCCATCCCTCAGGACCCCATCCTCGAACCCCTGGCCAGGAGGCCCCAGCCGCCCCAGCCGTGCGACCCAGCGCCAGGGCACTGGGTTAGGCTGGATATTAGCGTAGAGGAAAAAGAACTATGCACATACACCGGTTCTGGCCAGGCCCATCCTGAGCCCAGGATCGGTGCATACGCCCTCCGACCTTGGCCAGGAGGGCATATGCACCGATCCTGGGGCCAAGGATGGGCCTAGCCAGGACCGGTGCATGTGCATAGTTTTCTTCGCCCGATTAGCACCCACTTGTATCCCCCCATCCTCGCAGCACCCCCCGCGGCGATCCATCTTAGCAGGATGCATGAGCTCTCCTGCCGCCCCGCAAGTCCCCGCCGCCGGTGGGGCCCCCGCCCGCGCGCCGCCCCTCTCGGGACGGGGCCGCGAGACGGACGGGCAAGGACTGCCAGGGCTGTGGCATGCCTGGCATGAGTCGGTGTGGGCCCCGGAAACGGCAGGGCTGTTTTTTCCACCGTTTCCAAAAAAGTGTCCCTTGAAAATGGAAACGGCAAAAAAACGGCGACTGGAAACGGCAAAGAAACGGCTCCAGGATTGGGACCGGAACCGGTCAACAAAACGGCGACGGAACCAGTAAACAAACAGCGTCGGAACTGGCAAAAAAACAGCAAAACGGAACCGGTGACAAAACGGCCCTGAGGTTTCCAGGGCCCACTAAGCCAACCCTTAACCCAGGAGAGCCCAGAATCGAAGCGATCGATCGAACCGGCGATAGATCTGAACCAGATCGGCGGAAATCGACAGCCAAGTCGGGAGGAGTCGAGTCGGCTGGAAGCGGCAGCGTAATTAGTAAGGCCTCGTTGAGAAATCGGAATCCAAGTCGGAGTCTGAAATCGAATCGAATTGGAATCGGGATTCATCGAAATCGAATCGAATCGAACCGGGGGAATCAAAACGAGCCCATCCATCCTTCAATTGCCCTTAGAAACCTGGTCGAACAAGAACGGGAAACGCCGACTGTGTCTACTGGGTCCGTGAGATGGAAAGAAGAGAAGGATGATGACAACGACAAGGCGGCGAACATCGAGGATGACAACGCGATGAACGGGGAAGGGAGCAGAAGGACAACGAGTAGGAAAGCAAGCGCGAGAACGAGGAGGAAGAGATGGAGGAGGAGGGGTAGGAGGAGGAGGAGGAGGAGGAGGAGGAGGAGCAGGAGAAGGATAAGGAGGAGCAGGAGGAGGAGGAGGAGGAGGAGGAGAAGGAGGAGGAGGGGAAGGAGGAGGAGGAGAAGGCAGACGAGAAGAGTGACGACGACGACGATTGAGGAGGACAGTAAGGAGCCCGACGAAAAGGACGTCGAAGAAGGGTGGGTATTCGTGATTTTTCGAGACTATGTTGGGGGTGGTTGGGGCCACCTGGGGCTTTCTTGGGGCATCGTGGGGGCCTATTGGGGGCCTGTCGGGGTCCTCTTGGAGGCGACTGGGTTCTTCTTGGGCTGTCTGGGCGTGTCTTAGGATTCGGTGGGGGCTCTCTCAGGCCGTCTTGCTGCCGTGCTAACGTGTCTTGCCGGCAAGCTCGTTCCACTAGTCGCAAAGTAACTACTCGCAAATGGCCTGGACCCGCCGAGGGGGACTTGCGAACCAGTCACATCAAGGCACATGTTTTGTTTTGTTTCTCTCGGACGGTTGCGAGTGGGCACTTTGCGAGTAGTGGAACGTGCTCGGTGATCTTGGGCAATCTGGGCGCCTGCCGGGGCTCTCTTGGGGGACTCCTGGGCGCTTTTGGGCCACGGTGGGACTTTCCAGGAGCGGCTCCAGCACGATCTTGGCTCGGAGCGCCCTCCGATGCCATTGCTCTGAGCATGTCCCCGGCAAGGACGGGAAGCGTCGCTGCTGTCCGCGAAGCTGGTCAGATGAAATCCTCCTGAGAACCCCAAGCAGGCGCGGCAACGACGCACAGACGCCCCACAGAACTGCTGCCACGTCATTGTCGTGGTCTGCCGTGCTCCCGTGGTCTGCCGTCCTCGGAGGGTCTGCCCTGCTGCTGGGGCCCGCCGTGCCCTTACTTGGGGGGCTGCCGTGCCGGCCCGCCGTGCTCTTGTGGCCTGCCGTACATAGGGAGCCCACAAAGGACGTACGCGCCCAGCTATGTACATGAACACGGCCCCATCGATCCGCGAGACCGGCCGCGTCATACAAACATTTGCGCAATGCGTACTCTCGAAACCAGAGTGGATTCATGTACATGTACGTCCTTCTTTCGCTCCTGAGTACACTGGTCTGCGGTGTGCCTGTGGTCTGCCCCGTGCTCTCGTGGCCGACCGTGCTGGTGCGGCCGACCGTGCTGGGCTGCCGTCCTCTCGTGGTCTGCAGGCGCGTGTCTGCCGTGCTGCCGTGGTCTGCCGTGCGGAGCCGACCTGAAGTGAGGGCCGAGGCCCGGGCCGAGAGGACGGCACGTAGGCCCAGGGAGCAGCCCAAGGGGACGGGGGTCTGCCGTGCTCCTGTGGCCTGCCGCGCGGATCTGCCGCGCTGGTGCTCTGGGGCCTCGGTGGCCAAAGGGGAAAAAGGAGGGGCCCACAGGGGGCCACGGGGAGCCAGGGCCGCCCACCCCGCCCCGCAGCAGGATCCGAGAAGCCCTGCCGCCAAAGCCCGGGGGGGGGGGCGGAGGTCGGACCGCTATGCCTCGCGCTCACAGGGCTCACGACCGCATCGCCTCCCCCCACGGCGGGCCATCGGGGCCCGCGCCTCTGCGCGTCCAGCCAACGAGGCCTCGCCCTCGCATGCGGCCCTTCACGCGCCGCGGGCCGCCGCTCCCCCGCGGGCCACTCGCAGGCGGCGTGGCGCCCGCCTGCCCGTGCAGTCGATCGCTCCCCGCGAAGCCCGGAGTCGGCGGAGAAGTCGGCGCCGCCGGCGCCGTCGCCGACCTCCGAAGGCCACCGGGGGCCAGGCGGCCGAGCGAGGCCACCGAAGGCCACGCGAAGGCCACCGAAGGCCACGCGGCCGCCGAGGGCCCCGCGGCCGCCGCGGCGGCACGCCCGGCTCCGAAGAGGGGGCCCCGGATCTGCGGCCCGGCGCTCCCTCGGCGGATGGAGCCGCCAAGTTGCCGCCGGTACGCCGTGCGGGCCTGCCGTGCTGGTCTACCATGCCAATCTGCCGCGCTGGTCTGCAACGCAGATCCGCCGTGCTGATCTACCGTGGTGTGGTGCCGTGCTGCTCCGCCGTGCTGGTCTTCCGCGCTGCTCCGCCGCACGCCTGCTGGTTTGCCGCGGTTGTCTGCCGTGTTGCTCGGGCGCGCTGGGTGTGCCGTGCTGCAGTGCTGGCTCCTGTGGTCTGTCGTGCTGGTCAGCCGTGCTGGTCAGCCGTGCTCTTATGGCCTGCCATGCTGATGTGCCGTGCTGGTCTGCCGTGCTGAAGCTGTGGGGGCGTAAGGCCAGAGAAAAGGAGAGAGAGAGAGAGAGAGAGAGAGAGTGCCCCACAGGGGGCACAGACTGCAGAGCACATATCAACTACAGGAGGCCACACCCGCAGATGTCACGAGCCTCCCAGAACCACGTGGGGTCGCCGAACGCATGACGAGCCCCCTCGTGACTGGCGGGGGCACAAAATGCAGAGCACGTTCAGACAGGAGGCCACTCCCGCACAGCATCCATGAATTGAGGGCCTGCGCCGAAGCACTCCCCACGCCTCCCGCAAGGCCCACTCGCTCACTCCCCGTTTAGGGTTTGCGCCGCAGCACCTGGCTTGTCGTGTTCCTGTGGTCTGCCGTGTTAGTCTGCCGTGCTGGGCTACCTTGTTGGTCCGTGGTGGCCTGCCCTGCTGGTCTGCCGTGCTGGTCTGCCATGGTAGCCTGGCGTGCTGGTCTGCCGTGCTGGTCTGCCGAACTTCATCTTGACATACATGGCGTCGGAGACACCTCATCCGAGGCCGCATTTTGGGAGGACGCCTGCAGCGGGAGCTTTATTGTTGAAGGAACTTCGGGTTCACGAGCAACTTCCACATATCATGCTCCTACGGATGTCTGCAGACAGCGCTTCACTTTTTGAGGACAGCGTCGCAGGGCGGATCCTCCAGCATGTGCAGTTTGGGAGGATGTCTCAGGCGAAACACTTGTTGTTGCCAAAGTCGATGCTGGTAGGTTCTTAGTTTGACAGGGATGTCCTTAGCGACGTCGTCATTCTCGAGCGAAAACCCCATTTCCAACATGAAACCTCTTGAACGTCTTAAGACCGGCTCCTTCGACATCTCAAATGTTCGAGCATGACTCGAAAAACGGCGAACTCCTGAAGGGTTTGACAATGTCGCGACCGATCGCAACATCTCATTGCCCAAGTATGTCTCGAGCGAGAGCCCCATGGTCAACATAAAACGTCCTACACGTCTTAAAAGCAGCTCATTCGACATCTCATGTGTCCGAAGGTGTCTCGAGCGAAGCGGCCATGTTTTCGAATTCTCGAGCAACGTCAAGAACGATCTCAACATCACCTCGGCTTTCCGAGGACGTCTCGCGCAAGAGCCTCGTGTTCGACATAAGACGTTTCAAACCAACTCCTTCGACATCTCAACTGTTCGATAACATTTCAGGCGAAACGCTTAAAAAAGGGAAACCTGACCGGACAAGAGCGAGAAGCGCCGCTTCTCTGAGTTTGCGTGCGCGCCCGCACGGGTTTGCACGCGACGCGACATGGGCACGCACGGGGTACCCACATCCAAGCAGGTACCAGCAGCTACACCACACCATGGTAGCAAACGCACTCCTGGGGTCCGCCCTGCTCCTGTGGGGTCTGCCTGGCACCTGTGTGGTCTGCCGTGCTCCTGCGATCTGCCGTGCTCTGATCTACCATGCTTCTGTGGATATTGAAATGGCGGGGCCTTACGGGCGAGTGCCATGCTCCTGTGGTCTGCCGCGTTCCTGCGGTCTGCCATGCTCCTGTGTGTTCTGCTATGCTCCTGTGGTCTGCCGCGTTTCGTGGGGTCCGCCGTGCTCCTGTGGTCTGCCGTGCTCCTGTGTGGTATGCCGTGCTCCTGTGTGGTATGCCGTGCTCCTGTGACGTGCTTTGCTGTGCTCCTGTGGTTAGCCGTGCTCCTGCAAACTATGCCGTACTCAGGCGTGGTCTGCCGTGCTCCTGCCAACTGCCGTGCTCCTGTTGACTGCCGTGCCCCTGTGATCTGCCGTGCCCCGGCAGTCTGCACTACTCCAGCGTGAAGTGAAAGGAGCTGACGGGGCCCGACAGGACAGCTGGGAAACCTCAGCCCCGCTGTAACGGGAGGGCCCCTAAAAGCGCTCACGCAGCAAAGGAGGAGAAGACGTTTGTGGGGAAATCGAAGGGTACCGATACCACTATTCCCAGGACCTCTCCCGGAGTGCGTTCTGACCAAGAGTTCGAGGCGGATCCAGCGGTGGCGACGAGGGCCGCCCAGGAGGCCCAAAAAGGGGAAAACCAAGGAAGGGTAGAGGTATGGGTACATTTTCCTCCTCTGAGTTTGTGCTGCGTCGAGCAGGAAGTGCACCGGCGGCGCCTGCCAAGCAGCCGCGCGCGCCGCGAGGCGCGGCGACGCAGGAGGAGCCTGCCCACGCGGCCGCGCCGGGACAGCAGCGGCCGCGACACGCTCTCTCCCGAGGGCCAACAGAAACAGGCCTCTCGCCGTCTATGCCTCGCCCGCAGCACGGCCTGTCGCCTCCCTCCTCCTCCTCCTCCTCCTCCTCCTCCTCCTCCTCCTCCTCCTCCTCCTCCTCCCTCCTCCTCTCCCTCCCCTCCCTCCCTCCCCCTCCCCTCCTCCCTCCTCCTCCTCCTCCTCCTCCTCCTCCTCCTCCTCCTCCTCCTCCTCCTCCTCCTCCCGACTGGGACGCCTCTCAGGCTGCCGCGGCAGCCGACCACTCCTCCGGGGCGGGCTCGCCCAGGCCACGCAACAGCTTTCTGACACTGTCCTTGGCGAAATCGCCATGGCTGGAGGGCCTGCTTGGTTCGTGGTGAGGCCTTTTCTCGAGCGATGCCAAGACGATGTTAGGCACTGTGTTTGTTCCAAGCTGTCATATCGCATCTTCATTTTCTTTAGGATGTCATCGGCAAACTTGTCATTTTCGGGAGTCATCCAGGCGCGTTTGAAGCCGTCCTGGGGTACTTTTTGGGGGGGGGCCTTCTTTCTTCGTCCTCGAACACTTCAGAAATGATACCAAGACCATGTTGAGAACATATCATCTTTCTGTGAGAATGTCCCAAAGGAAATGCACACTTTCAGAAACGGCGTCAAAACATGCAGCAAGGTTAGTCTGCCGTGCTGGTGCTCACTTCCTGAAAAAAGGCTCCAGCGAGAGCGTCGTCCCTCGCAGGAGAGGCAGTAACACGGCTCTGTCCCCTCCGCCAGAGGGTCTCCTGGGCGATGCCGCCGTCGCCCCCGGGCGGGTTCCCGATCACGTCCTTCGCGCGCCCGATCAGCAGGTGCAGGCGGTGCGCATCCTGCAGGGCTTTCGCCGAGGAGGAAGAGGCCCTCCAGACGGGGGAAGGAGAAGGAGGAGGAGTAGGAGGGCGAGGAAAACGATGACGGAGACGGCAAAGAGGAGGAGGAGGACGACGACGACGAGAGGAGGGGGGGGAAGGACGGCGGTGGCGAGAAGTGGGGATCCGGAGGAAACCGAAGGGGGCAACGGCGACGATGGCGATAAGACCTGGGGGAAACGGAGATCATGTGGCATCATCAGGGAGAGCACCAGAGACGACAAGGAGGACGAATCACATTGAGAGCCAGAAGACCGCTGAAATACTCCTCCTCATCCTCCTCCTCCTCCTCACCCATCCTCTCTCCTCCCACCTCCGATCCCCCTCTCTTACTCTTTTGTTCATTCTCCACATCATCATCATCATCATCATCATCATCATCATCGTCATCATCATCATCATCATCATCATCAGCATCATCAGCATCAGCATCAGCATCATCATCATCATCATCATCATCATCATCATCAGCATCATCAGCATCATCATCATCGTCATCATCAGCATCATCACCATCACCATCATCACCATGATCACCATCGGCATCAGCATGATCATCATCATCATCATCATCATCATCATCATCATCATCATCATCATCATCATCATTGTCATCGTCATCGTCATCGTCATCATCATCATCATCATCATCATCATCATCATTATCAACATCATCAACATCATCATCATCACCATCAGCATCATCATCATCATTTTCAGCAGCATCAGCAGTATCAGCATCCTCCTCCCATTCCTCATAATGCTCATCAGTATCAGCATCATCATCATAATCATCATCATCAGCAGCAGCACACTCATCATCACAATCATCATCAAAAGCATCATCATCAGCAACCTCAGAATGCTCATCATCAGCAGCAGCATCATCATGCTCATCATCATCATCATCATCATCATCATCATCATCATCATCATCATCACCATCACCATCATCATCATCGGCATCGTCATCCTTTTCCTCTACCCCTCACCCTGTCACTCCCTCTCGATTCGCCCCAAAACCCCCGAACGCTCCCTCCTGGACCACGGCGTCGGCCCCCGGACAGGGGTACGCACCCTCGATGATCGGCACGAAGGCGTGGCTCAGCGCCTGCCGGGCGAGGAGGGCAGATGGAGAGCGGAGGGCCCCTCCCGCCCCCCTGTTTGAAGGGGCCCAGGGACACACACACACACACACACACGCACACACACGCACACACACACACACACACAGATATATATGTGTGTGTGTGTGTGTGTGTGTGTGTGTGTGTGTGTGTGTGTGTGTGTGTGTGTGTGTGTGTGTGTGTGTGTGTGTGTGTGTGTGTGTGTGTGTGTGTGTGTGTGTGTGTGTGTGTGTGTGTGTGTGTCGGCGGTGCCCCGTGGCACGACCCCCCCCCGAGTACTACTGGGGGGTTCGCGCAGGCCGCACCGAGTGCCGCCGACGGCTCGAAGACCCCCCCTGTCGCATTACCGGGGGTTATGTTGTTCCCATGCTACTTAAGGACCAAATCCCAGAAATAATTTCGAGCACCCAGAAAAGTGTCAAAAGAGCGCCAAAAGAGTGTCGAAACAGTGTCGGGCGAGTGTCTCCCAGGGCCCGACACGTGAAAACCCTTGAGTTTCGGTATTTTTATTGGCCGTTCGAAATTCTTTCTGGCGATCAACATGAGTAGGTTGGGTTCGTGCAGGCCGCACCGGGTGCCGCCCACGGCTCGAAGACCCCCCCCCTGTCCCTTTACCGGAGGGCTTCATGCAGGCCGCATTGGGGGGGGGCTTCGACCTGGACCCACCCCCCTCCGTGGGAGTGGGGGGGCGGGAGTGGGGTGCGGGGGCGCGGGTGGGGAGTACGCAGTCTGCAGAGGTCTGTCGCGCAGAGCGCCAACAGCCACGAAGGGTGGGGCAAGACCTTGGCCCTGCCCAAATGCGTGCACCAGCGCCCACCCGAGACGCCCACCAGAGGATCACGGCGGGGAGGGCGCGCACGCACAAACTAAACGAGTCCAGACTCAGAGAGAAGGACGAGAAAATTAGCCCAGTTGCACCCAGTGCACCTCGGGATCCGAAACCTGGAGCCTCCTGTGCCCAGAGATGACCCCCTGCCTCCGAAGGTCGGCTGGGTGTCGATTATTATTAAAACGACAGGTGTGAGAGAGCCTCCGTTTGCTATAAGGAGACGGGGGACAAACATCTACAGAGCAGACGCTCTGCCCGTGCTGATGGCCCCGCACGCCAAACAGATAACAACCTTACCAGGCGACATGAAAAGCTCGTGCCCTCGAGCGCTCCTGGTCGGAACGTCGCCGCTCTCAGGCAGCGGAAGAGAGGGCCGAGAGCTCGGCACGCACGATCCGCCTCGAGGCCCGAGGAGACGCCGCGATTTAGGGGGCGGCTCGACCGAGGGATCACGAAGGGAAGCAGGGCGGGCCTGCACACGCTGAGCGGCGTCAAGGAGAGGCTCGTCTCTCGCAGGCCGAAACGAGACCCCTCGCCCATTGTGGGGGGGGGACGGCCTGAGACGCGCGCCCGCACCGTCCTGGGCGGCACAGGGGGGGAGCGCTCACGAGCAGCAGAAGAGCTCGAGGCAGCAGCACGGGGAAGGGGGGAAAGAGTGGGATGAACCCTGCCGCTATCAAATCCACGGGCGCGGACTCGCCTGAGGTGAGGCGAGGCCGATCGCCCTCTCCGCTGCGCAACTCCTCCCCCCCCCCGATCCCCGACAACGACGGCGGAGACGACGGCTCCCCGCCCCCATTCTCGTCGTCCTGCGGTGGCTCCTCAAGGCCAACCTGCAGCTCTTGATTATAATCCGCTTCTTGCTGGCTCATGTCATCGAATTACACTCCCACCACGGTACCAGGAGAGACAATGGGGGCCTCCTGCTGGCTCGCTAAAGGCACCCACGTGGCTCTGCCCCTGCCTTCGGCAAGAGTGACGGTGGCAGCAGCTATCTTCGCAGGACAACGGCGAGTCGCGAGTATCTTGCGCCGCTTCACGGGCCGATCGAGCTTCGCGCACGTCGCGCATCGCCACGAGGGCCCGCGTCGGAAGAAAATGCGACGGAAGCCTGGAGCCACCGCGGCAGCGGCACGGCGATCAGCAGCGGCAGCACGAGCTTTCCGACGCTGTTCGAACCTATCCAGGCCAGGAAGGACAGCGTCAGGCATATATTTGGTGTGAGCCCTGGCCAACCAGGCCAAGGTCTTGCGCACAGCCGTGAAACGACGCTTCATCAAAACAGCATCCTGTTGTCGCACAGCGTGAAGATCGCGGCCCTGGCAGGCCGAGAAATCGGCCCATCGGTTCCCCCGCGCCTCAGAAGACTGGCCCTTCTGGTGGCCAAGGGTGTACAGAATCTGTAGCATATCCCCTAAATCGCCTAAATCCTCAATACTACGCCAAATCTCACGCCAGAGGTCAGAGTTCGGGCGCCTCGGTGAAGCGTCCCAAGAAGGCCCGCGCACGAGGCCGGTCGGCAGGTCGAGGTAGTCGATATAGATAATGAGGGGCAACAGAGCTACCCGCAAGATCTGGGCCACGGCGCGCAGCTCGGCCCTGGGCGAGGTCTGAATGGGCCCAGGAAGGGCCCCGTACACACAGTGCACCACGGTACTGGAGTCGATCTGGGCAAACCCCCATCCCGCTCTGGTCGCCTCGGGCCAATACGAGTACTTGTGGCATGCGCCATCCGAGAAGACCACTCCAGCAATGTATTGACACGCTCCATGCAACGCGTGTCATGTGCAGGAATCGACCCGAGGGGGCAGCGGAGGAAAGGTCGATCTCGAGATCAAGCACCGCGTCCAGAACCAGGAGGTAGGATCAGGAGGAGGAAGCACGGCGGTGTCATGGTCATCATACAATGCATTACGTCCTTCTCCCGTGGCCTCGCATGTCCATGGTATATGAAATAGGTTAGCTGTATGCTCTAGACACCATCTCGGGGCGCCGGTGTAGTTGGTGTGAAACCGCCGAGCAGCTGTCCACAGACCTCCCGTCACCATGGCCCTTAGAGTGCCCGCGGCCTGATAGGATGAGTTAAGAGGCCGATCTGGATCTTCCTCACGAGCCTTGCCCAGGAGAGAAATGATGGGCTCCAGCCAGTAGCCCTCGGAGGTCTTCGGAGCCAACGGCTGCGCCAAGTCCCGTTCAGGTCGAGCTGCCCAGTCCTCCCAAAGACGCCGAACGCAGAGGCTCTGGCGAGGTCCCGAACAGCAAGAGGGGAAGCAAACCGAAGGTCGAGAGTGTCACCCACGTCGGTCCTGACCGCAAACGCCGACGACGATGCCCATCGAAGATAACGAAAGGCTAGTAAGGTGGCCCCAGCAGGTCCCGCAAAAGCTCCCCATGGCTTCTTGGAGGAGTATACGATGAGAGCCTGGCGTCGCTAGGCTGCCTGCAGGAGGTTATGCATCGATTTACCCCAGCACATAAGACACCATTGATAAACAGGATCCGCCCATGCTGGGATCTGGGGGCCCGGGGGACCCCCACCATGAAGAAACGAGGAAATCCACGCCGAGCCCGCTCTGCGTGTTTCGTACCACGCACTCCGCATCGATTTACGCATAGAGGAAACCACTGCAGGTGGAGCTCCGTGAACTCCCACGCCATAGTTGAGAGCAGCTGGCACGGCCGATTTCACGAACTTTCCTGTGAGCGACCCCGCCTTCCGAACACGCGAGAGCCGAGAATGACGAGCCGACATCTTGATAACACGCGCCCTCAAGCGCCGAAATCGAAGTGCACGCCCCGAGGTAACTTCAATCCCCAAGACTTCAAGGGCCCCGAGGGCCCGATAACCCATGTCCCCCACCACCAGGCAAACGCTCTTGGCGACAGCGGGATACGCACACGTGACCGTCATCTTGCGCTTGGCGGGGGCAAGGTCCATGGGGCCTAACATGCCCACAACTCCCTGCAAGACAAGACACGCGTGCTGCACGATGTGATCATACTTGGCTAGCACCTGCACCGTGAGGTCATCCACATACACGTGCAGCGCGCGCTCGACTTGCACCGTGCTGGCGAACAACGAGTCCAGTGGGGTCAACATAATGAGCTGTAGGATATATATATATAGCCATACTGCATCCTGGAAGCACACCACGAGAAGCCCACACAGGCCCCGAAAAGGCCCCAGACCACGCAAGCCTGCGCTCACACGTGTACGTACGTAAAGCCAAACACACCAATGCTCCAGGGAACTCGTGCTTTTGCGCGGCGTATAATATCAAATCCCAAAGGACACGATCGAAGCATTTCTCGACGTCGACGATGGCGTGCAAGCAGACCATGTCATTGCGAGAAGGCTTCTTCGTCGGCGGGTGCGCCTCGCCGCGCAGCAATACCCTGGCCGCCACGTCTGTCGTGGAGCGACCAGCGCCAAGAGCCAAGAAGGGCCGATGCAGCCGACTGGCCCATTCACGAACGTGCACTATGCGAGTCTTGGCCCAAACTCTGTGAACCGAAACCAGGAAAGCGATCGGCCGATAGCCCCCAGAAGGTTTCTGAAGCAACACAATATGCACATGCCGTAGATATTCAGGCCAGGCACCCCAGGACTCACATAAAATCACAGGAAAGATAGAGCTCCGTTCGAAACCAGCGCCCAGTGCTTTGGCCTCCAGACATCAGCTCCTATGGCAGTCCTAGCGGGAATAGACTTAGCGGACCTTCGGAGCTCTTGAATCCCCATCGGAGGCAAACGGGGACCCAAATCACGAATCTTGTCCATCTCGGGGAGAAACGCGTCGACGGATGAAGGCGAGGGCCCACCATCCCAGATGCCTTCCCAAAACTCTCTCTGAACGTTAGCAACAGCATCCACATGACTGGACGGCCCCAGGGACGTGTGAACCTGCGCCAACTGCCACCCTCGAGGTTTCGCCCAACTGTGAACAGGCTTAGAGCGACTGCTGAGGCAGTCCTTAAGCCATTTGGCAAAACCCGCACCGCGGGCCTGTCCTAGTCGCCGCTCCTCACGAACAGCCAGTGCAGACAAGGGCGCCGCCACCGCTCGCAGCATGACGACGTGGCAATTGTAGGGCTGGGCGAAGATGCACAGCAGGCAGTAGGTGACCTCGTGGATGAGCTCGGGCTCCAGCGACT